CACACTGTGTAGTTGTTCGTCAGTCGAAACCACACTCTCAAGGTCGCAAAAGCGGGATGTGGTTCCAATACGTCATCACCAACGCTGATTTTTGGCAATATTATAGATTCCACCTCCGGTTAAGCCTGAAAGAGACAGACAGTTTTGTATGTGTTGATGGTGAGCCCGGATTTGGCCCCTGTCGAAGCTAGAGCAATAGTCATGTGTCTCAACTCATCCGCGCTATGCGCAAACAACGCACAGTCATCAGTAAACACCAACCTACGGATAGTTGTCTCACAGACTCAGGTTCTGGCATCGAAACGACGGATGTTCAGCAACCCACCACCAATACGGTGCTCCACACGAACACCGTAAGTACAAGCAGAATCAAAAACACAAAAAATTATGGCATGAAGATGGATGCTATACAGGACAGGAGCTAAGAAACTGCTCTGCTTCACACCAGAGGCAACTGCAAAGTCATCCGAGGTCCCTCAACCCAGGCGCACCCTCACCCGCAAATCACTGTGTAGACATTCAAGTAAACTTACAAACTAACTCATACAACCATACTTATCCAACACCAGCCACAGTGCCTCGCGGTTCACCGTATCAAATGCCTTGGTGAGATCAACAAAAAGCGAATACAAATGCTGGTATTGTTCTCTGCACTTCTCCTGCAACTGACGAGCCACAAACACCATATCGATGATGCTGCGACCCGAACGGAATCCATATTGCTCTTCCGCCACGTTCGGTTCCACAACTTGACTGCCCAGGCGGTTGAGTAGGATTCGGACAATCATCTTGCCCACGCAACTCTGCAAGTTGATAACACGATAATTCGTGCAACGTTGCTTGCTCCATTTGCCCTTGGACAGAAGTAGCACAATGTCACACTTCGGATCTGGAGGCACCTCCTCCTTAATCCACACGTGTTGCACCAAGTTGTGCCGCACATTCATCAACTCGGGTCCGCCGTGTTTATTACTTAAGGCGGGATCCCGTCGGTACCAGCACACTTGCCGTTTCGCAGCTGAGCAATTGCTCTCTGCGTCTCATCTAGTTTCGGCGTGTCCGCCAGATTCGCCTTCACATCGTGTTGCTTGAGGCCGTCCAATCTAATCCAGTCGGTCTCTGAACGGTTGTTCAAGAGACAGAGTCAAAGTGATTTTGCTAGATCTGCATTATATTTGCAGTCTGTGTGCAAGTGGCGCCTGTACTACCGTCGATCAGCGTCCTCAGCGGCTCCAATTTCGGTCCATACACCGCTCTCAAGTAATCAAAGAATTCCTTGTGTTGGTGGCGTTCGGCGTAGCATCCCATCTGCTTTGCCATCTCCGTCCACCATGCATTTTGTACGCGACAGAGCTCTCGTGTCAGTCGCCGTCGAAGTTCGCGAAACTGACTCTTCCTCCCCAAGTCACTGGAGTCTGCCACATGTGCAACAAATACTGCATTCCTCTTAGACACCAATGCGCCAATTGTCGCATTGTTCTCATCAAACCAATCAGGCAGCTTGTAATTTTGCGCGCCCGGCAGCAGCTATCACATGGTCCCGAATGTGGTGCCACAGTCGCCCACAGTGGCTATGCAGTCCACATCACCCAGGCGTGCAGCAATAGCCTTCTCCAGCTCAATACGTTTCTCCACAGTACCAGGGGAGAGCATGTTAAATTTACGCCGATTTATGGCGGGAGCGCAATGCATAGGTTTACAGAAATATATATACAGTTTGGTCCGTACCAATTTGTGATCAGTGCCACACTCAGCTTAACGCAGTGCACGTGTCATGCGCACTTCACTCATATCACGTTGACGTACGACGACATAGTCGAGTACCTGATTGTGACTAATCCGTGGGTGCGTCCAAGTTGCCATATCACTAGCACTCAGTGCAAACCGAGTGTTCGTGATCGTGAGGTCGTGAGTTGAACACAGTGAGAGCAGCCTGTCACCGTTCGCATTCGCTGAACCAATGCCATGCGAACCGATAACATCTGTCTACACCGATGCATCACGCCCAACGCGCGTTGAAATCACCCAGCAGAAATAGTCAGTCGCTCCTCAGCACAGACGGTATCACGGGGGGTAGCTGATTGTAGAAATGATCACGCGTGTTATCAGGATAACGCATGGTCGGACCGTACATGCTTATAAAAGTGGCAAACTTACCTCTTCCTAGTCGTAGGCGAACAGTCATCAGTCGCGCGCTGATACCTGTTGGTTCACCCAAAAGCTAGCCATGGAGGCGATCGGATATTGCAAATCCGACCCAATGCTCACATGGTGCTGAGGTGGCGTTGCCCACCCAGTAGAACGTGTAACCAGCATCTGCTCCCTGCAACTTACCTTGCTCAGCAAGCCGGATCTTAATGAGAGCCGCTGTATCGATGTTGTACCGCGCCAATTCCATCGCGACCAGTGCAGTACGTCGCTCGGGACGTTCATTGGAGTTCCGGTCCAGTATTGCGCTCACGTTCCAGCGTCCGATGTTGAGTGCTTTACGCGCAGGCATGTGATTGCATTGATGCGCAATGGCACGCGAGGTGGCGGTTGTACTTCGAAGGTTTGCTTGAGGGACTCCACCCGGAGCCTTTGGCTTAATATCCTGACCTACATGGCGGTGTGGAGCAAATCCAGCTCGGGAATGTGATTGCAGACACAGATTGGGATCTACTTGACGGCCGTCACACGCAGCATTTGAGGTACTGGAACGATTCACATGTTTTGCGACCGTAGTAGAATACGCACCTGCGACCGCAGTCAGACGCATTAGGGTTTTGGCGGGTTTTCACTAATTTGACTAGGGGCTGCCTGTCTTGAGGCAGGTAGTACAAAACCATTGCGCAACTGGAGGTGCCCTCCCCCCGTCAGACAATGCGTGGTGTTTGTGCTTTACGTCAATCGAGCTGTGAACTTATAACCCGTACACCTGTTGTCTCCCATGGCTATGTTTTACGGGAAGAAGGCCATGGACCACGACCTAACTTCCGAAGAGGAAGGGGTTTGGAGTAGAATACTGGCAAGACGCTCACAGCTGACGGTAAAACGACTGGGGTCGTCAGCCAAAGCTTTCGATTAAATGTACACCTGAAATGCAGTGGATCTAGCACATGGTCAGTTCACTGACTCATGCGGATTGGTGTCCTGAATCTTAGCTAGGAAATGTGCGTAACCCAACTCCCACCCAGCGGTCACCACGAGGAGGCGTCCAGGACATGAGCCAATGGCACAACAGTAGCAGCATTGGGTAGACCATAGTCAGCATAGGCTCTCCCGCCACCATGATATATATATATATATATATATATATATATATATATATATATATATGCGTTATTCTAATGAATAGACCTAAAGCCAACCAAAACCATGGAAATCAACGGAAGATGACAGGTAGAATCACAGATTCCTCATCAGCTTGTAGCATTAGCTGAAGGTGAGCAACATACTTCAGATATAGTGCCGCAAGAATAAATTGTATTTTTGTCATCTTGCCCTCGCGGTTTTTTCTCTTTTTGTCCTTTTCAATTGTTAGCCATTAATCCTTTGAATATAAACAAGCTAGTACATAGATCTTTCACCGGTTTCGGTTGGGCGCCATGTCCTTAATTATTTCCAGACGTCGGCATTCTTCTTGCTTTGATCCCCACGCGTGTAGGCCAATCATCATCACTATACACGTTAGCTGCAGGTGGAAAACACCTCAGCTATTGTGCTTCAGTACAATACAACGGCAACAAGATGTGAAGTCTGTGATTTCATCTGCTATCACCAGGTGGACGGCTGACCACTGCATAGTCTCTTCTAACCGAGTCCTGCACCAGCGAATACGGCGCGATTGGCAAACGCTCAGCAGACGTACGCAGCAAAACCAGCCTGTTAAAGGGAATACTCGCTTTCCCTAAGACATGGCGTCTGACCTCACCGTTAGATACGCTGTTGCCACCACATTTCAGGGCATCCGTTGGAACTGGTCGACAAATTCATTTATCTTGGGAGTTGTTTTAGGATTGGTGGTTTGACAAATGAGATCTCCCTGCGTGTCTCCAAGGCTAGAGTCAGTTTCGGTAACCTTCGTCACCTGTGGCTTCGTCGTGATCTCAGTCTCGATCTCAATGGACAAGTCTATAATGCTACGATACGAGCGATTCTACTGTACGACTGAGACTTGGCCCGTTCGCAAAAGCGATGTCCAGCGGCTATGAGTCTTCGATCACCGCTGCCTGCGAAGCATTGCTGATGTTCGATGGCAACACCACATCAGTAAGGAGGAAATCCGTCTTCAGATCCAACGAACTCCGCTTATCGATTGATAGCATCACCTCACTGCGGAGGCTTCGCTGGCTTGGCCATGTGCTTCGCGTTCCCACCCAGCGGCTACCACGACGAGCCCTATTTGCGAGCACATGCTTGGCTTGGAAGCGACGAAAAGAGGGGCAATATAAGATTTGGATCCAATGTGTAAAGGTGCGAAAGTTGAAGCTGGCTGTTGTCGGGCGTTTCCGGTTCCCTGGTTGGGGACCAAAGGACCCCGAGCACATCTGGTTGCAAACGCTGGAGGATATGGTCAAAGACCGTACGCAATGGCGCACTTGCTGTGAGACTCTTCTATCCCAACAGTTGTTTTCCCTCTCACGCTATCCTTTTTTCTTGTGTTGTGGCATAGCCAATTATATTGTAATTGGCATTGTGTTGAATGTATATATATATATATATATATATATATATATATATATATATATATATATATATATATCGAAAGCCGAGAGCCGGCGCAAGTCATGTACGCGAACTGGCCGTGACTCGCTGCCGTATAGCAATGCCGCCCGAACTGTGACACTGCAAAACACGACCCTTAGCCAAGTGGAGAAGGGGGCATCCACTGAGACCGCATTCTAGCTATCGGCATCCATTTCACTGCGCACTTTTCCATATCAAGCCTTCTTCTTGGTCGGATAATCGCTGGTTTTTACCCTTGCTTTTCTGCACCCCTCTTTTTCCCCACATTTTAGTGTCCACGAAGAGGAAGTCCGTTGACACTACTCGTTGTATTGACAAGTTAGATGGAGTTCGAAACAGTTTTCTATCGCGTAATGTAATCAGAACCGTACAGGAAGAGCGATTTGGCAATTTCAGTAAGTCACTGCTTAGTTCGATTTTCATCAACCTTAGCTGGTTATCGTCGCTTTCTAACTCTAAACATCTTTCTAATTTCTGCATGTAAACTGTACACTCTCGTACTGCTTCATCTTGCTGCACAACTTTGTCCTCTCGAAGATGGTATCCACATGGTTTATTCCTCACTCCCCTTCGTTTCATCAACATCTTTCGGACTGTTTGTATTCTCATCTTGTCTGTGATTTCATTTGTACCCCATTGTAGCTCCCAGGCACTTTCCGTTGTAGAGAGTTTTTGTCATTTAGTAGTACTCGTTTCTGCTCAGACTACAAATTGTTCGTTACGCAACGGCTTTTCACTGGCTGCATGTGCAGCAAGTGAATGAATCCTGTGACTACATGCGCTTCGCTCGATTTCCGTGCGTTCCGTCTGCATTCGCATGCGCCGTACTCCAAGTACGGCGAGCACCAGAATCTGTGCGCGACCCTGCATCATCGTCATCATCATCATCATCATCCTCATCATCATCATCATCATCATCATCGTCATCATCATCATCAGCAGCAGCAGCAGCTTTGCACATTGGCTGTAAGATAACATATGGTATATTCTTGCTTTTACACGAGGCACACCAGAGAAACACACATTGACTATTGTGTAGCAATGCATAAATGTATAAGGAAAAGCAAGCTACCAAACGTTATGGCATTCAAGCAACTGGTAACACACTGTCTAGTAACATATTATGCTTCAAGCATGAGAATATAGTTAGAGGGGGAAGCTATGCATGATGAGCAGGAACAAAGAAACTCACAACACAAACGCTGCTGGAGTCGGCTCTTTGCCATGTCAACTAGTGTATCCAACCAGACGTTGTCCATCGTCATCCAGGCCGCTGCCCGGCAATCGGGAGACACCAACCGGCACTAGATTCTAAGTGGCGATACCATGCGAAATCCCTTGGCTGTAGTACTTTCATAAATACTACATCTCACTACTGGTTTCGTGGTTCTTCATCCCCCACTTCTCCTATCTGACAGACTGTCGAACAGCGACCCATGTTCGGATTCAGATACCTTTGCTACTCCATCCGGTGGCTGGTTGGTACAAATCATCCGCTTCCATAGACCAGAGATTGCCGGTTTGAGCCTGTGTTGTTGCGGGCGATCCCACAGTCTCCCTGTCTCGTGCACATGTGTTAGTAGTCGCGCAGCAGCGAAGCGTCCGTACGACGTACTGTTGACACCTTTCCTTTTCTCTTAGGAACGATAACTTTTCTCTACCCTTGATGAGACCCATCATGGTCCTTACGACTTGGTTACGCAGTATGTGATGCTTCTCTTCGTCGCTGATTGACACATATACTGTCCACGCTTTATTTGAGGACGAGCGATCCGCTCTTCGATCTTTCAGGATGCATCCCCACATAAATCGATCTTCCCTGTGGTAGGATAGCGACGTCACCACCGAGCATTGTACTGTCATGTTTAGCTGGGGCTGCAGAACGGGAAATCACAGCTGCTTAAAGTGCTTGAGTAAGTTGCAAACAACCGGAATCAATGTGCATAATTTCTTGGATTAATATGTGTAAGGTAAAACCTCTCACAAATTTATATAGGATATATACAATGCACGAAAAGTCCAAAATGTTCGGCTTCCTTTTAGGGCAAAAGTATACAACACCCTTAGCTTTCCATCTTTGTGATATCTCCGTGTTGTGTCTCTCGCTGATTTTACGGATAACTTGCTGCTACCGCTCAAGCTGACCGGCCGATTTTCTAGATTAGAAGACAAATACCTAAGACGAAAACTGTATGGCACATCCGGCAAACAGTATAAGCAACTCAAATAAGGGGATCAAATCAACAGTTAATACAGGAATGGCATAGCGTTTGCTGGCGGGGTTCATAGTGGACTACCCTCATTGGCAGCGTTCAAGGTGAAGCGTCATCATTAACCCGCTCTAATTGGTTGACCAATAAACTTCGGTCTGCGTCGTGGTCAACTGTGCTGGGCTGCTGCAAACGGATACCTCCGTTACCACTTCCCCGGGAGGATTAGCATACAGTTTCCTTTTTGGATCCAGCTGCATTCTGTTGGCGGATCTCGGTACTCGATCAGTCTGGCGCCGTGGTTGCATTTTTGGTTCTTCTGGAACTTCTGTGCGAGGTGCTTTCGAAGCTTTCTAACCAGTTGATGATATATCAAAACTGCCCAGTAACATATTTAGCGGTAGCAGTCGATTACTTACTGGGATGTTAGTTGGTTGCTGCTGGTTGGCATGCCTGGTTCAAATCAAGTACCTACTCTGATCTCCTAGAGTACTCGACTAGGTCTTTTCCGGATCAATCCTATCACCCACTGAGGACTTCCCACGCGATAATCTCTGACCAAACCAGGTTGTCTCGGGAAAAATTGACATTCATGAGTTGTGTGTCGCTTACTGTAGTACCTTCCATTCGAAGGTTCCTTTCTTGCTGGATAGTACGCCTCGGAAGCAGCAAGGAATTTACAGTGCATTGCTTTCGTCCCATTAATGACTCAGTTGGCGACAACTTATTTTGCACCTGGGGATTCGAGGTTCATCTATGCACTATCACAAATGTATCCAGTATGCAATATAAAAGCAAATCTTGGTAACTCAGGTTGTTCAGTTGGTGGTCTGAGTGTTCTCTGAGCTCGGCAGTTTGGCTGCAAACGTTTCGTCACCACCCGAGGTGACATCGTCAGTGCACGTTTATGTAGCAGAGCGGCGCGATACAAAGTTTCTGTGAGTGTGATTGGTGGATCTTCTAGTCGTCAGTCTGTTTGAATTATTCGACGGGCACATGACCATCGAAATCGATCTCTGCTTCTTGCCTCGTAACGTACGTGCGCGTACCTCTTCGGTTGTCGTCGTCGTTTGACGCATTTGTCCGGCGTTCTGTTCCGTTAGATTTCGCCCACTAATTCGGTGATCTTTCATCCGTAGCGCTGCATATATTGCCTCTATTTCAACGTGTCGATTTATCGAACCGTCTGTAGAATGTCATGCTTCGGAGAACTCTCTAGCTTGCCTCGAATTTCCACGGGCTAGGATCTTTACGTTCTCTAGGTCGAAGAGGTAGTATTCTTGATCTTCATGCATAGAAACCGGTGAATGCGGCTCGTGTCTGTATGATCATTATGTGTTCGTTGATCTGTGTTGGAAGTTTCATTCCAGTTTGCCTGATGTAGTGTTTGTCACACACTTCGCAGTTAATTTTGTAAGTGATATCATTCTGACTGCCTTATTTGACTTTGTCCTTCGGTTTTGAAAACCAGCTTCGCAAAGTACCAGTTGGTTTGTGGGCTACCAAGGTTTCATGTGGTCGTAGCAATCTCGATGTAGTTCAGACACGTTCTTGATGTAGGGAAGCTCTACACATTTATCTACGTTTCCCGCTGTTCTTGAGGCACTTTTTTCTTTAGGCTTCTTCTGAGGTTTCTTGGGTGCCTGTTGTTTTGCATTCCTCGGCATAAATGGTTCTCTTCCTTCTTCCTCAATCCTATCATGCCGTAGTGTGTTCCGGCCCTTCTCAAAAGGCTTTGAATTCAGCTTTATTGTGGTTCAGTGGATGGTTGCTGTGGTAGTTTAATATTTGGTCTGTGTGGGTCTTCTTTCGATATACACATGTTTGAAGCGTTCCGTCAGTGTTTCTGTGGACCAGTACATCTAAGAATGGTAATTGGTTATCCTTTTCCTGTTCAATGGTAAACTTGTTATCCTGGAATGTGATTAGCTCGTGAGTATTCTGTATTGAATCTTGTTTGATGTCGAACGTGTCGTCCACATATCGGATCCATAATTTTGGTTTGATTCACGATATTTTGATACTCTCCAGTTCTTATATCACAGCTTCTGCAGTAGGTCCTGAGATGGGCGATCCCAAGGGCGTTCCTTTCACTTGTGGGTATGCTTTCCTGTCAAAGTAAAAATGAGTAGTCATGCAGACGTCCAAGAGTTCCCATATGCTCCGACCTGAGGTTTCCTGTCGTGTTCGGTTGATTTCGAAGTAATTCCATCATGATTTCTTTTGCAAGTTCGTGACCGATCGATGTGTAGAGTTCGGTGACGTCAAGCGACAGCATGACTTCATCTTCCTCTATCGTCACACACCTCAGTTTTTTGATGAATTGTTCAGCATTTATGATGCTTTGTTCAGATCTGACCATTAGATGTTTTAATTTCTTCCACATGCACTTTGCGAATTTGTAAGATGGAGGTCCTAGTAACGAGACGATTGGACGCAACTGAGCTCCATCTTTATGTACCTTTGGCAGTCCATCCAACCTTACAGTGTTTGTGTCTTTAGTTTCCCTCTTTCATCGCTCATGTTTGGTAATCTCACTCGTTGCTTATAGTTTCTTCAATGCTATGTTGATTTGAGTAACCAGTTTCGGACTGGGCTCCTGATCCTGTCGAAAATGAGTTGTTTGGTCTTTGCAACGTTATTTGGTTTATCCATTATTACTGCCATTCGTCCCTTGTCTGCTGGTAGGATTACAACATTGTCTTTCTTTTGTAGCCTTTTGAATGCTTTCCGTTATTCCTCTGCGAGAGTATGTGTGAACTTGTCGCTAGTTATCACAGGGTCAACTGTTTGTCTAGTTTGCTGCCGCGATTATTCTGACAGTCCGTTTGTGTTCAAAACCTTGCTCCTTGTACTCCTTGTATCTCACATTCTTTTCATTAAAGTTTAGTACGTTGATTAGTATGTTCTCCTCCGTTGTGCTGAGTTGATGGCCAGACAAGGTTTTGATCCGTCCTTCATTGTTGGGGTGGTCACTTTCTCGTAAGCTTATTCAACTTGATATTCAATGCTGGCTTCTGATGTTGTTTACTCGACGTTGAGTCGCGGATTCACGCTCTGCAACAAAGCAGTCAGTTTCATTGTCATTTGTGACCTTTTCGTTATGGGCACCATTTATCGTTATTTTGATCGTACGCGTCCCATACTGTCTTGCTAAAGCCCAACCCTGTCTATGATCTAACGCC